GTGGATGTGGGGTGTGGGTGTGGGTGGATGTGGGGTGTGGGTGTGGGCGGATGTGGGTGCGGGTGAATGCGGGGTGTGGATGTGGGTGTGGGTGTGTGACTGGAAATAAAGAGAATACCCACACCCACACCCACACCCACACCCACACCCACACCCACACCCACACCCACACCCACACCCACACCCACACCCACCCACACCCACACCCACACCCACCCACACTCACACTCCACACCCCACACCCACCCGCACCCGCACCCCGTACCAACACTCTCGAGTTGATTATATTAGTCACACCTCCCAGAGACTTCAAAAATCAAAAAATCACGAGTTTTATATCAAAAACACGAACACAGCATTGTTGGTTATGAAACGGACATTAATTTTGACGTACTTCAAATTCATTGACTGCAAGTAATATTTTAACGAAAGAAATGGAACGACTGTGATTTTCAATCAAAGCAACAGATTTTAATTGATGAAAATGGTCGCTATAATCAATGAACTTGGAAATACACCAAAACGAGTTTTCGTTTCACCATTCAAAATAATATTTATTTGTTTTTTAAGTCACTGGACTGAAGCTTCGATACTTTTTCTATCATAAAACATTCATGATAATTTCGAGTTCTTAAAATGAGCATATAGTTTACTAAAAAGTTGAAAAAAAAACAATAAAAGTGTCGGGCTAGCCCGGCCCGGCCAAAAACTTTCATTGAGCCGGGCGATCCGTTTCGCACCCTCGTTATTAGGCATTCATTGAAGTTGTTGATCCATGGACATGATCGACGCCTAGTTATCTGACCTGTCGAGGCATTAATGTTGGAATTTTTTACGAGGATACATGACAATGCATTTGACAAGTTTGTGAACCATCAAACTTGCCTTTTGGTGTGGGTGTGGGTGTGGGTGTGGGTGTGGGTGTGGGTGTGGGTGTAGGAGTGGTTGTTTATTGCTTACTCACACCCGCACCCACCCACACCTACACCTTTATCAGCATAACCACACACCCACACCCAAACCCTCTTCCCATCACACTCACACCTCAGTTACTGGAGACGGTGTATCTCTAGTTTTATTGGATTTAGTAGTTTTCGCTTATAAACTCATTCGGCGAAATTCGTTATCAGTTAAAAAAAATCTCTTTTGGCAAAGTTGCAGTCGGCGAAAAACATCAGTAAATATGGCAAAAAATTGTTTTGACGCCTATCTGTAACGTTAGTTGACTTTTAGATAAACATAGGTAACAAAATGATGTCGGTTCTTTTATCTTCTCCATGTTCTGAATGCATCTTATCGCGCACAATTCATTATCAAGAAGCTAGGCAAATATTGAAAAAATTTACTTCCATTGTTTTTTCTTATTCTTTGTGTCACTCTAAGAATTGATCACACCAAGTTGTACAAGACAAGTGAGTTTAAGGAATTCAATAATACTCTGAATCAGTAATGAAGGACGATATATTATAAAAGTTAGGCTAGTCATGGCATGTATAGAACATTTTCCTGACTAACTCACATAGTTGCTGAAAGAAGTTCGACAGTATTCATCGCATTTTCTAAAACCAGTTTTTAGTTGTATTAGTTGGTGAACGACTGTGTTTCTGATGGTGAGAGTATTTAAACAGACGCCAGGCTTTTTATAAGACGTGTCATAAGATTTTGGTATCCCTGTATTATTGAGTATTGTCGGATTGTATATTCCAGCTCACTTTTGTCATTTTTTTTATTATTTATATTTTATCGACTAGTCTGAATCGGATACATAGACAAATGGACGAGACATTATGAGGTTCAGCGACATTTTGGACTAGTCAAGACGTGGTTTGTATGACCCTTCTTGTGACGATGATCAGGGATGTGAAATACTGAGGAAACTTCAGACAAGAGCTGGCAGGCATTGTTGACATTATGTACTTTTTATTATCCGTCTTCATTAGTTTTTTTGCTTCCTTGGGTATCTACCAAAGTAACTGATAGTATGTATTATTTTGGTTTCTTGATACAACTGCTCATCGGTACCGATAACTTACTATTCCAGTATTCTAAAAATAAAAATTTACTATTGCGTAACCCAAGAGCTAAGGTCTGCGCCGAAATTAAAAAAAGGCGATGGCAAGCCAGACAACTCGAGAACGGCATTAGCTAGGCACCTGCGAGTTCCAGCAATCGACAGATGAGATTCGGAGATGTTTTTTTCTGACAGATGCTATAGAAGAGGAAAATTATTGTGAAATGTATCATATTGGCAAAACATTTAATAAAAAGCATCAAAACGATCTCCTGTTTCGGCCTAATTTTGATTTTGAGATGTGTTTTACGTAGAGGACTTGAAATCTGGTGCTCAAGGGATGATCCAAGTGATCATCTTCTCATGTTGCAAATATCAAGAAACTTAACCGTGCATATATGCAAACAAATTACATAGAATTCTATAGATTTTTAGCGATTTTTTAAACTTTTAATGAAAATTTCCGTAAAGTGGAGTATACTTTTTTATACTCCGTTCTGAATGTTTCACAAAGAAAAATAATTTCAAACTGATTTGGTCTTCTATAGTATCTGGCAAAAAGACATCTCAGACTCTCCTCTGTTGACTGTTGAAATTCCCAGATCGATAGTTAATGTTCTTCTCGAATTATATGACTTGGATCCAACCCTCTTTAATTCTGAAGCTGGCATTGGTAAATGGGTGATTTTCTATTGTCCAAGTAGTTGATAATGAACCCGTTACCGCTAGTTGTAGCCGGTAAATGGTCGAGTTGCTGACTAGCAAACAATTGATATATCACCAACTACCAGATATTTTGCTAAGTCAACGCAAGTGATTTCCTCTAGAACACCATGATCGTCAGTTAACATCATGTGTTAGCTACTTTACAGAAGCAGGATAATGGTGGGTGTGGGTACGGAGGTGCAGATGTGGGTAAAATATTAGCCGATAGAAGATTGAACTACACCCACCAACCCACACCTAAGCCCCATGCACACCTCCACCTACATCCCACACGCACAATCACATCCATTCTTATACGCACATCTCCAGACCTACACCTACACGCCAGTTCTCACCGTCAAGACGTGCTTGTAGCATGTGCACCGTGAGATATCCCACTTTTCATTGAATTCTCCCTTTGAGGGTGGACTGTGAAGTGTGAGATGTTGGGGGTGGGGTGGGTGTGGGCGTAGATAGGTTTTGAATGCAGGTGTGCTCCAATCTTCTGTCAACTCATATTCCACCCACGTTCACATATTCACACCAACATTCACACCCATGATCGCCTACACTCACCTCCATACCCATTCCTATAGTCACATTCACACCCACACGCACAGCCACATTCCATATCCTACACCGAACACCTCACACTCCGCCCTCAAAGAGGAAATTTGCTGAAAAATTGAATATCTCACGCTACGCATGCCATAAGCGCGCCATATTTTAAATTTGTTAGTTTGGCGGTGAGACCTTTATTTTGACCCGAATACGTCCAATTTCTCTAACTTACAATACAGATCCCTCCATTATTAGTTAAGTAGCGGTCGCTTCTCTCCTCCATATGACTACACTACTGAATCAAAATGTTTCCTCAAACTTTATGAACTACAAACATTATGACATTAACAACATATGTGCTTATCTCGAAAAATGGAGATC